TGTACTTTTTGTTTTATATTTATACCTGATATGTACAGGTTATATGTACATGGCTTCGTTCGGTCGTATACGTAGTCATACATGTTTGATGAAGTATCCTTTATTTATCATCGTATGACTTTACGAGGCATACGTTTTATGATGTAACACTGAACTAATTTCTATTCGCCCGTTAGAGTTTTTCGAGCGCAAGTTTTTTTTACGAGGATTCAAATATTTGCCTTCAATAGGCATGAACAATGATATGTTCAGCTAAAGATCGACTGAAGTAATTACTATAGTTGACTTTTCCATGCTCATATGTTGCACTGTATTCAGATATCATTGATTATTCTTGACTTTATCATGCTGTTCAGAGAAATTCGATTCAGGTCGATCGTCCATGAAAACCTTTTTATATATGACCTCATTGATGGCTTTTTCTTTACTACTTGCCGCAAAAATCATAGCCACGGTTTTGCTCTCCTCCATCATAACACGCTGCTACCTCAGCAGCGTTACTTTGCACTCGCTATTGCGTATTGTTCTGTGAATCGACCTGTTTAATACCTCGAACAGCACCTATATAGTTAGTAATCACAAGATCCGATAAAGGAATATCATTATTCGTCTGCACAAATTGCGTTATAATAGTTCTTTTCAAACACAACGAGCTCTGTGTGCCCTTCGATATCTGCCCCCCATCCATCCATGTTCATTACCTTCGTGTAATTTTTCGCTCTCTCCGTCTGTCTTCGAAGACGCTTTTTCTTTTCGATTTATTAGCCTGACCCTGCTATTGAGTTGTCGACTGACTAAACTTATTTTCTGGTATGTGCTTTTTTTGGTTTCGCTGTAACGAGATCACGTTGACGTTTACGTAGTCATTCGATTTATTCAGCATTATGTGTCATTTCGATGTGCCGTTTAATTGTACAGACGAAGCTGGATTCTATACCATTGCAAACTGCTTTTAGTCCACATGCTGTTTTTTCAGGCCCTCCCTTCAACACTGGTTGTTTCCGTATTGTCTGCCTTATACAATACAGCACATTACATCTACATGCATCACCGTTCTACAACCTGTAACGGCAATCCGGTTGATAAGGCGCCGTTCCTGCTCATCATACTATTGCCCTTAACGGGATAAAAGAGAACGCCCGTTCAATTGTCAGCAAATTGGTGATGATGGTAACGATAAAATGATCGTTTTTCTTGCGATGTTGAATTGCTCTCGTGTTGCGCTGCATGCTTCGTAAAGGCGTTCTCATACCATTCTCTCATATATCTATATGTGTATATATATATATATATGAGAGAGTGGTAAGAGAATCTAT